AGCACACTGCTTGGATGGCTTAAGAGATTGATCAACCATTGCACCAAAATCCATTTTTTTTCATAACACTATTAAGATTATTCCTTTCCAAATTATAATTAAAATTATGATAACCTACATGCATTATCTTGCATTTATTATAATTAAAACCCATTTTCCATTTATTTGCCCAACTCACTAAATGTTTTAGATCCTTTTGTAAATCAGCAGCATCTTCTTCATAGCAGCACCCAAGACTTTAAGGTAGCACTGACCCTTAAAGAATGCCCCAATATTTCAAAAATCACATTTTGAAATTTAGCTTAAATCGAAAGTTTAACCTCTTTTCTACATAACTCATTTTTGTCTTAAAATCTTTACTAATTAACCTGTAGTAAGTGATTAAAAATAAAAGTCTAGTTTGTTTTCATTCTGTTTCCACTTCACCATTAAGGTCAATATCAACATGAAATTTAGCACACTTGTTGATATTACACTCTTCCATAGCTTGGATTTTCTCAAATTCAAACATCTTTACCAATTGTCTTGATGCGAGTCTAATTATCACTAATGAAGGCATTAATTGAAATTAATTGCCCATAGCTCATTAAAACTGCAGAAAATTTGCAAAGTTTTTAATTAAAGCTACGAGGATGTTCACAAAGATCATATGTATCAACTTTCACATGTTTTTATCCTTCCTAAGTAAATTTATAGTGTTAAAACAGTTTGTATTAGGTATTTCTTTATCCCTGCCACATAAATGATGCATATGATATATATTACTGAATGTGTACTTTCAGAGATTGCAACATCATACTTTTGTTTTGTGCTCATGTTGAAGGTTATAAGAAGTGTTTAACAATGTTTCCTCAGCACGTAAATTTGCTCAGGTTTAAGGAGCAGTGCTACCTTAATGTCATCTGCAAATTTAAGTAATTGACCATTCCTTCAACTAAGGTACCCCCACTTGTAACATTAATCCAGCTTGACTGAACTCTTATAACAACCCTCTGCTTTCTTCCATCCAGCCACTCTTCTATCCAATTTG